AAATAAAGTCATGTATTAGATTCATATATTTAGTCGGAAAATTTGACCCCATTACTTCAATCTATTTGGAAAACAAGCATTTAAAAATAATTGATCCTTACAAGCATAGGTTTGGAAAATTAGTGCAGAAAGTAAATACCTAATAATTGCCTGAATACCTATTCAACAAATTTATTCAAAGATCCAATAAACCTTGATTTAAGACACAATCTTTTTCAAATACCTAGTCACAAAACTGCAAAATCTAAGGATATAGAACTTTTGAACGATAAAACATTCTTTAACATAATATTTAAATATCCAAACCACGGTCTTATATACAGGTCTTGCAACTTTAAGCTTCGTGGTGGCTTCCTTAACGTGCCAAGCCGCTAGGTGGCGCTAAGATCGAAGGGGTAAAGTCAATTAAACTACTACTTAGTTAAATGTGGAACTACTGCATAACCATAACCTAACTTTTTAAATTCTTTTTCTATGTTTTGTTTACATTTTCAAAAATTTAATATTTGTGAGTTTGTTTCGGATAATTTACGTTAACAAAATAGGACAACAAAGTCTATACTCTATGCACAAAGTCCTCGGCCGTCACATGCCCAGACCAAACATGTAAGTAAAACATGTTAATGTTTAAAATACATACGTATATCATATATCATATAATATATATTATATGTTACGGCTAATGTGTAAAAATGGATAGTTTATAAAGTAGCTGGGTTACCAGCCTGGGTAGTTTATAAACTAGCGAAACTGTCAGCTATTTTAATTGAAAACGTATTTTTAACTAAATTAGCGGCTAGTTTGTAAACCAAGGGTCTTGGCTAATTTACTTGAAATTATTTAGGAATAGCTGGATAATTTGTAAACTATCCAATTCAATTTGGCTAATATGAAAACCAAAATTTCTAGTAACACAACAAACTAACCAACCAATATTCTGGCTAATTTATTAATAACCGATTTTTTATTGTCTTGGCGGGGATGGGTTGATTGTTTATTTAAAATAATATATATTTCACCAACACGATGTGCTTAGTTATATAATAATCATACAAAATGTGAAGGTGTCAATAATAATATAAAAAACATATTATGTTTTTTATTGCACATTGCCATGTTTTTAACCGCTCCTTATTTGTTGGCACTTTAAACATGGACCGCTTAATTTTAATGCCGGAACGATAGCTTTGCTGGTTACATTTTGGCACAACACAGGACTTCATGTCTATTAAAAAGCACAAATACAAATGTATAAGAAGAACAAATATAACAAGAAAAAATAGAACAATATAATATAACAATAACGAATATCACAATAACAATAAGTAAAAACTCCCTGTAACAAAATACACAAGCTTGTTTATAAAAATGTAGGATATGTTTCTTCACAGGACGCTTCTGGTGGGTGTCTCATTAGAGAGGTCACTTTTCCTATTGAAATTGGGCGAAGTTGCAAGACCTGTATATAAGACCGTGATCCAAACACATTTAATTTAGAGTACAAAAATTTGTTATTAACTAGTGTGATATGAAATTATAGGATTTAGTTTAATTAATATGAGATATGCAGAATAAAATAGATTTAATTTCTTAGTAGGTGGTATGGAAGAACGTCCTTACGAAAGCAGCCTTTTGTGTAATTAATTTTGTATTTTACGCAATAAAGCATTTTTATTATTATTATTATTAATTAATTGGATATTTGCTCCTCGAGTTCCATCCGCTCCCTCCCACCCAGTTTTTTTTTATTATTTAAATAATATTGAGACTTGTTGTCATATAAGCCGGTAAAGATGTCCGCGCATCTATATATATATATATATATATATATATATATATATAGCTATACTCCGTATCTTGTGACATCCCGTAAAAATTGTGTCGTTGTAACATCCACCCCAAAGAGCAGACTGATAAATAAATAAAAAATATGCTTTTTTGGAAATAATACTTCCATTTGTTTTCAGTTTTAAAAACTCAACCATACACATTTAAAAAAATATATTAACATATCGTTGTGAGCTCCGCCGTATATCAAATATACATTTTTATAACCCATGCCATGTGACATCCACATAATTATAATGTGCTTTGTGACATCCATACAGTGTTGCCAGTTGGGTAAATAAAAGCTAAGGATAAAAAGAACACAGTAGGTACCTCTAGTTTTATTTATAAAAATAAAAATTATTTTTGGTGTAGGTATTGGTTCACAGTAAATATTTTTATTTATAATAATTAAATAAAAGTTTGGTTTGTATATTCTTCTAAATTTTTATATAAAATACTATATTAGCGAATTTAGGTTATTGATGAAATGTATTTTTTGTAGAATGTCAGTCAAAAATATTATCTTACGGGGCTTACAAAAGCAATGTTTGCTATTATTAATTAGGTAAACGGTACCTAGGTACATAGCTATGTTAAAAAAAAAATATGCAAAAATAACATTAAAACTAGCCTACTCGACTACGTTCTTTGTTTACTTGGTGATTGTTTTATTTTTTGTTTAAATGTGACTTAACATTTAAATAAATACATTTTAGTTTATTATTGAAACTAAATACTGTTTTAAAGAGCCCTGTAATTTATTATTATTAACTGACATCGAAAAACATCTCTAAAAAGTACCAATATCTAAAAATTCACTTTCATGGTTCAAGTATTAAATAATCATTTTATTAATTGGTAGGTAATTAAAACGTTAGGCCACTTTTTTCCATTTAGTTTTTTTAGTTTGCTTACCTTATTATTCACATTGCATTCATCCTTCATAGACTTTTTTGCTAACAGGTGCGTTAATGTCACTTTTATAAAATTAGTTTTATTTGTGTATAAATATTGTTAATAATACTTTAAAGTTGATTTTTTTTGTGTTGCTGTTTTGAGCTAAACTTTTTGTATTTTTGTCTGTTTTATGGACCATTTAACCATGGAGCCTATATGCATTTAACTAACAATAATTTGTTGTTGGCCGCAAGAATTAAAAACAATTAAAGAAATTAGTTACTTAGTTACTCTCAGAAACAGCCAAAGATGGCGACTTATCTTAAATTAATCAAACTATAACTATTTAAGTAGCAAAAAATAACTATTTAAAAGTGAAAACGACTACTTGTTGGTAAACAATGCTGGTACTAATTTAAATAGTACCGTAAACACGGGTGACTTTGGCTCACTTTCAAACTTTTGCTTAAAATTATTGTGGTTTTAACAATCATAAACATATTATATACCAAAATTTGAGTCTTGAGTTGCATTTTCATAATAACTAGGTTATAATATTAGATAAAGCTGAGTTTTAAAAATAAAAACAGGGTGTGCAAAGTTACCCACCAGTTGCGGATAACTTTGTCTCACAGAGTATTTTCCGTATAAAATTGGTACAATATTTTATTTATTTTTTTATTTGACACATATTAGCCGAGACATATAGCAATTGCCAGGGATTACCGACGATAAATAAAAAAATGATCCATAATTAACCAAGGATCAATCATTCCTAAAGATTGTGTCTAGAATAGAAATTTTACCGCGTGTAGTTTTAAGGGTTCTGCACCGATGCAATATAAACAATTTTAAAATGTGATAAATCCTATTTATTACTTTAAAACACTATTTTTTCGGTAAAATAAACTTCATAGTATCACCTCATTGAAAGGTCTAGAGAAAAAAATGTTAAATGTTAATTTTATTGAGCGCGAAAAGATTTTTCCTAAAAAGGTTAAAGTCATCTGCGGGGTGCAAAGTCACCCGTGTTAGTTGTGTAGTTCATTTTAAGAGAGTATACTATATACCTATAGGTAAAACTAAATTAAAATCATATTAATTGCATGTATGGGCGCCCAGTTTTTATTATTTGGGACGCAATCCGAGAAAAATGATTTTTGAAATTATTTATATTTTAAGTGGAAAACGAAAGGTCCAGATCAAATTTGTTTATTTAAAAATTTGACATTGCTATTAATTTTTGTCGAGCGTTACTACACAAACGCCTGCCTCGCAAACTTCAATCGCCTTTCCTGTAAAATATGATTTTATGTCCCTTTTATCGGATCGCGTCATATCAAATTTTGTAGTATAAGTACAATTTAGCATGTGATGATTACCTCTTATATCTTAGAAATTATTGTAATTTATTGACTTTACGATATGGGGCATTCCACGTTACTCGGTAATTTTTGTCCCGCCCGTCACAATTAAAAATTGTGAGTAAAAACCACAAGTTATAAAATTAATATTTTATAAGATTATTTTTATTGTGCTTATAACTTATTAAAAGCATAATAAAACACTATTTTAAAATAAATTTTATAACGTATAGTTTTTACTCACAATTTTTAATTGTGACGGGCGGGACAAAAATCCCCGAGTAACGTGGAATGACCCATATATAAATATAACCTAATAATCGTAATGGGTCATTTCATATCAAATCAACCAATGGTTTGGCAGGTCACCTCTCCGATTTTGATAATTTTTGGTACAGTTATTCTACCCATAAATAGGATCAAAAATCCAAAATTTCAGATTTTTTGGACCAGTAGTTTTTTTTTAGTTAATTTTTGAAAATCAAAAAAACGGTCAAATTCTCCTCAACACGTACTAAGAAAAAATTGAATATCTCCAGAACTACTAATACTAGAATAGCGATATATAGCTTATTTTAAAGGTCTTGAAAATACCTTTCGAACGAGGTATCTCAGGACATACTTTTTATTGAAAAAAATATATAAAATTTTGAAAAAAAATTATTTTTTGAAAATTTTTAAAAAAGTATTTTTTTATTTTTTTCAAAAAAATATTTTTTTTTTCTCAATATTTTAGCAACATATTGGCAAAATTTCAAGATGGAGAAATGATTGGAACAAGGTGAAAAAAAATAATAACAATAAAAATGCATGCAATATAGTGGTATTTATTTTGATAAAATATTGATAAAAGGAATAAAAAAACTCAAAAACTAAATTATAAAGGAAAAAAATTAGATAATTTCAGCTTTAGTTTCTTTTTTCTAAAATTTTTGAAGAACCCAACATTTCATCTTTGGTAAGCGTGTAGGTTCGACCGGTAGAAGTAAGAGGCTGAACCCTCTTTAATACTGCATTTCTTTCTACTACTAAAATGTCTGCTCTGGGTGTCGGATAATAAAATGAACTAGCCGGTCCATTTGGATGTAGAAAACTGATTTTAAGTTCATCAGATTCTTCATTATGTCCAATGATACAGGCTAACCACCATAACTTATCATATTCCACAGTCACAAAACCAGATTGAAGAGACATTAGTTCAGAATTTGTGATTTCAGAACACCTCAAAAGTTCCTGGGTTTTTTGTTCCAAGCTGAGTGAAAAGCTTTTGGTCATTATCTTTGATTTTGAAACTGGAATAACTGAATGTACTTTTTGAGTTCCAGGAATAGTTAGTGTTTCAGCAAACCTTTTTTCTAAATACATTGCATGCGTTTCGTAATCAGCAGTTGTACAAAACCTAAATGTGATACCGGCTATATTTTCTTGCGCAAATTGGAAAAGTTGTTCTGGCGTCATAATTTGGTCCTGGTATGGCCTTTGAAGACTAGCTTTAGTTGCTAAACGTTTTACGGTACCACCTAGGCCATCACAAGCGCTCTTGCCATGGGAAGTGGCAAAAAAGTGCCATTCCGCTTTTACCCCAAATTCTTCTTGATGGTAACAAAGGTTGATGAAATTTTTTTTATTTTTGTATTGGGCTGCGCACCCATCAGAAAAGTAGTAAATCTTTGAAAGGTTTATAATTTTCTCTTTAAGTTCAGCTATTAGTTGTTGTAGAAATAAATGAAAAGCTATAGTATTGTGTATTAAGCAGTCTGAAATAAACACGTAATTTAAGTGCTTCAGTTCACCTTCTTCATTTCTGTAGTAGATTACGAAAGGGTGAAGGGTCGCTTGACTGGTAGTCCAATGGTACGACTGTACCTCATCCTGCAGGACAAAGGAATAGTTTTCAGCGAAATCACATGTGATAAGTGCCTCGCCAAATTTTAAATTTGTTTTTGTTTCGTTGTAAAATTCTTTTTGCATATTAGAGATAAACGAATGCGTTTTTAGTTTTAATAAATCTTGAGTGAATTCATCAAGAAATTCGTCTATAGGTTTGATGATTGTTTCCATATTACATCGATCTACTGATACCCATTTTTTATAAGTTACACTATCAATGAAAAACTCATCAAACTTTTCCATTAAATTTTGTTTTAAACCTTCAATTCTAGGACAAGTTGGACAACTATCGAAAAAACAATCCACATTTGGCGGATTGCAAATTATTTTTGACAAACAAGCATGATAGTCTGGAAAAACGGGTTTATGATTTTCATTAACGATGAATTGGTTTATCTTGGAGCCAGTTATCATAAGCTTAACGTTTTGATGCACAGTACACACACATACTGTATGCGTCCCACTTTTCCCAGCAAAAATGCAGTTTCTTGGTTTGAGTTCATAAAATTTGGTGAATCCGATTTTAACATGGGGATATTCGCTCTTAAACTGAGCATAAATTTCTTTAAGATTGGCCAAAAGCAATTTTTTTTGTGCGTATTCTTTGCTACCTTCTTTTTTAATAACGACACAATCTTTCTTTCCGGGCATCATTCTGCTAATATCGTCTCTCATGTAAAATTCCGTCACGAGTGTAACAGTATCACTCGACACCGTTTTTCCCGGTTTAGGATTCGGTGTGGAAAGAATCCCCTTTTCTTTGACCATTTTCTTTACGGCTCTAGCCATATACTGTGATACCCCAAACTCTTGCTCAATTTTCGACCTGGTCCAACTTAACGGCAAACATGACAGCAAAAGCATTTTTTCGCTTCTTTTTGATGTGTGGGCGAATTTTTCTTTAAGCTGTTTTATTATTTCACAATCATGTTTGTCACCTACATTTTTAGATGATGGATTGTCTCTTTTACGTAGATCTTCTGATAACCTTTTTTCTATCACTACTTTGACTTTCTCCAACTTCTGACTGGTTAGTCGTTTCCTTTTGATGGGAGATTCTCCCAAGAGCTCCAGAGACTGGTTCAAGGCATCAAGTGAAGCATCAGAATCAGCCTTAAAATTGGGAGATTCATTGGCACTTGACGGTCTGAAACAATATAATCATTTTTTAAGTTTTATACAAGTCACAAAAAGAATTATGGGTGCAATTATTTTAGTTTCTTTTTATAATGAATAGCAAAACACTAGAAATAAAAATCAAAACTTCTTTTTAAATATAATTTAAAATTTGTACTAAAAAACGAGCTAATTAAAAAAAAAGTGTTTAGAAATAATGAATTTTAATAAATTTACAATTTTGCTTTACTTACCCCGCTTCAGGCGATGCAGAGTTTTTTAAAACTTTCGTAAGTTTAATTCTACACCCGTCACAAATTTTCATTCCCATTTTAATGTTTTCGTAAGAACACATTTTTGCTGAAACATTTCTTAACTTTTCAGAATGCTTGCCTACTTTTAGTGGATTACAACACTTAGTCACAAAAACTTTGGACCAATCTATAGCTTGATTTTGAGCCATTTTAGCGGGAGTAAAAATTTTTTAGTCGTGTGCTTAACATTCAAATTTCGTACTGCCAACATGAGAAACACAAAAATATGACAGTTTTAAACCATAATTTTGCAATTATAACAACAAATAAACAATTTATGTTTTTACTTTTTTACTTTTTATGTTGTTTTATGTGTTTAATGGTACTTTTATTTGTTATAAAGTAGTAATTTGTTAATTAAAATACAACGTTTTATTTTTACTGTATTGGCACCGCTGAATTTACGGCCTACTGTTATTTATTTATCAAGCTCTTCAAATGGAGATAGGTACATAAATACACATTTAATTTTTTTCCGTATTTTCGGCCAGGTTGTATTTTCGGCCGAGGTAGTAAGAAAAATAGTATACACTACACGGGCAGAAAGTGTGGGAGTCCTGAACTGCGCGCCATGATGCCCTCGGCTTCGCCTCGGGCATCATGGCGCGCAGTGCAGGAATCTCACACTTTCTGCCCTTGTAGTGTAATATACTATTTAAGCCATTCTTATCCAATTTGTTTGCTACAATTTTAAATTATAATTAGATGATTTTCTAATATTCATTAAATTTATTCTATAAATAAAAATAAAAAAAATAATTAGATAAATATTTTTAACTATTATTATTTTTAAATCATTTATATAATGTATTACTAAGCTTAATTATAATTATTTTAACTTCAACGAGCCATTGATATTATAAAAAAAAGCTAGCCGGTGGGGTTCTTATAAGTACCCCACCGGCTAGCTTTTGGTATACCAAGTTACAGGCTTATCTCCAGAATGGTGGAGAAGGGAGGAAGAAGTTATTTTAATTAGGGATTTCAACAAGTTTGTGCCTGAAGAAAATTTAAAATATCTAAACTTTCAATTCGCTTTGTGAAGTAGTCTAGGATTGGGTGGGAGAGGGGGAGGGGGTGGAGGATGCGGGGGAGTTGTTCATTTTAATAGAAATTGCAAAAAGGTTTTTTGTGATGGTGTAAAAGTGTATGTAAGCGCTAAATAGTTATTTTTGATGCTAGATTGCGAAATGACACTTTTGCATTCGAGGATGAAAGTTTTTTTGCGAGCCGTAGCGAGCAAAAAAATCATTCGAGAATGCAAAAGAATTTCGCAATCGAGTATCAAACAAAATTTTTTCGAAAACTGTATCCCACAGCTTAAAAATTTATAAAAATATTACGAAAAAATTGACAAATACATTTATTTTATTTGACATGTATGTCATCTACATTTACAGGGGTCATCCAAAAAATATTTTAGGTGGATGTAAAAGACTTTTACATCCATTGCTAATAGCAACGGATGTAAAAACCTTAAAAAAACATTTAGACACAAAACCGTTGTTTTGACACTTAATAAATATTATGTAAAAGTCAATTTTTAATGACAGTTTTCGAAAAACAAGTTTTTTATAACAAATTAAAACACTTATGCTGGAATTTTGCATGTTTATAAGTTTTCAATATTTTTTTTCACTATGAACCCATTATTTCTCCACCCTGAAATTTTGCCAACATGTTGCTAAGATATTGACAAAAAAAATATATTTTTTTGAAAAAAATTAAATTATACTTTTTTGAAAAATTTCAAAAAAAATTTTTTTTTCCAAAGTTACTTTTTTTTTAAAATAAAAAGTATGTCATGATATACCTCATTCGAAAGGTATTTTCAAGACCTTTAAAATAAGCTATATATCGCTATTCTAGTGTTAGTAGTTCTCGAGATATTCTATTTTTTCTGGGAGCATGTTGAGGAGAATTTGACAGTTTTTTTGATTTTCAAAAATTAATTTAAAAAAAACTACTGGTCCGAAAAATCTGAAATTTTGGATTTTTGATCCTATTTATGGATAGAATAACTGTACCAAAAATTATCAAAATCGGAGAGGTGACCTGCCAAACCTATTTTTATTTTGGTTGATTTGATATGAAATGACCCTAATTTATTTACCTGCCGGTATCAGTTAAATTTAGTTCCAGAAAATAAATAATAAATTGATTTAAATAATTGCAAGAATAAGCAGCAAAAGATGTTAAACCTACGTCTTATATGAATATGAACATTACGGCCATTTCATAAAAAAAATTGTAGGTAATTTATTATATATTATTTTTGCATCAAAATTGTCAAATATATTCTTCTATTATTAGGCTATACATTTAATAACAAAAATCGCAAGAAATATTTTATAAAAGTAGAGATAGGTAATTTCAATAATTGACAGGGGTGGACGGGACAAGATAAATCTTTTTTTTGTCCCGTCCACACCTTTCAATTATTAAAATTATATCTACTTGCATAACATATTTCTTGCGTTTTTTTTATTTAATTTATAACCTAATAAAAGAAAAATATTTTTGACAATTTTGATGCCAAAATATTATATAATAAATAATCTACAATTTTTTTTATAAAAACAGTTTTGTAATTCGTGCTTTTCGCGCGCTTGAAATGGCCGATTACTTACCTCTCTATTTCACAAAACTGAATTTTCCAAACAATAACACTTAAAACTCAAGAAACAACGTTGCCAATATTTTGATGTCACAAAGCGCGACAAATAAAAAGGTAATAAACACTACATAAAAATGGATGTCACAGGATACGTTGGTTTTATTATCTAAATTATACAAAATAAACATTGCCAACTGTCCAGCGCGCTATCTGGTGGGTAAACGCGTGAAACAATTATACAAGCAAATTTTAAAATCATGGTTTTTAACATCCGTTTGATTTTTTTCCCACCCTCTCCTATCCTTGTTATAAGTAGATTTAGCATGGAAAACGTTGTGACATCCAATTTTGGATGTTACAACGTCAATGGATGTCACAGCGCCGGTAGAAATTTTGCACCAGGAGGTCACAACGATATGCGGATAAAACTATATATATATATATGGTTATAACCATTTCTTGCTACCTCACAGCATTTTTAATGCAGCCTCTGTTACAAGCTTCACAAACTTTTTCACCGCTTGCGTGTGAAAGGGAAACTTGCCGAACCTTATATAGAAGTCTTGAGCTTGACTTATAAATATTTTTAGTTCTTTTATTTTAAAAAAGATTTCCAAATTTATAAACATTTTTAACCCTAGAATTTGCTGAACCGCTACCCTTAAATATAAATATTGGGCTAGTACGCTAATTTTTTTTTCTACAATAATTGTCAACATAATCTAACTTTTTGTTGCCACCCCGAACAAAATATAAAAAAATAATATTTTTTAAATATTGGGCTAGTATGCTAATTTTTTTTTTACAAACTACCTTTGGCATAAGGAAACTTTTTTTTGGTACCCCTAAATTGAATTCAAAAAATAATTTTTTCGGCCCACAATATTGGACATGTCATATACAGCTTTCAAAAGCTATCAAATTGTTTTTTGTAAATTAATGTGTTAATTTTGAGGTGTCTTCTTAGTTTTAAAAATGTCTCCGACTGATGTTGCCCTTTGTACTTTACTTCTTATGACGTTTAAAACACTTGCCACGTAATACTGTGACCGTCCATCCTGGATTAAATTAATAGCTCTGGCAACATCAGTCGGAGACATATCCATTTTATAAAGTAAGAAGACACCTCAAAATTTAAACATTAATTTGCAAAAAACAATTTGATAGCTTTTGAAAGCCGTGTATGACACAAAAATAAATATATCGAGGTGAACCAAAAACAAAACTGTTAAGAATAGATGTGACTTGATAAATAAAACTTAATTTAAAACAATATACGGTTTTGCCACTCTACAGAGTGTCTTAAACTTATGGTAAAAAACATCTTTTTGTTTAAACCTGTATGTCCATTTTTTAGTATTTTTTTAAAATGTGAGCGATTGTCCATTAATTTATCTACAATATTCTTTAATATTCGTTTAAATCCGACATTAAATAAAAAAGTTATTTGCGATTGAAATTCATCGAAAATTTGTGTGGATTATTTTGCACGCAAATGTATTATACGAGAGATAGTGCAGGCTATAAAATAACATTTTCTTGTCGGAAAATATGTTTAAACTTTAGATAGATTCCATTAACTCTGACAAAGGGATATGATATATCTACCAACCATGGTTTGTCTAACAAGATACAGAGAATCTAAAAAAGAGCCAGACCTACCACACGACACTTCATAATATTTTAAAATAAAACATACCGTTTGCAAAAAAGTGAAAAAAACAAACACATTTGTTTCAACAAAAAATACATTAGACAAAAATTATAGGTAATTTTATAAAAAATAATTTTGCTTTCTCACTTTTTATTGTGCAATATGACAATTAATAACAAAATGTATAAATACATCTGTCAGAAAATTCTAACCTCACTTTCTTCCAATTAATAACCCCAATGTGTCAAATCATAGTGAAACAAAATCGTCCAATTACTGATGCTCAAGCATATATGCTTATATATATACAATAAATTTATATTATTGGACTCATAAGTCTATAAAGAAATACTTCATATTAATACTAGTTCAAAAGTCAAATTATTATTATACTCCGTACAGAAATAAAGCTAAACAGTCATCATGTCAGTTGAACCTAACCTAAAATTTATGTAACACAATTTTTAGAAATTATTTAATTAAATGCTTGAAAATACAACACGGCGGCGAAAGCTTATTAATTGCTTTGCACACAATCTACTGCCTTGGCAGTGAAATTTATGCTCGGCGATAATATGTGTTTTCTCCGCCTGGTCTATAATGTATATAGGCCTATAGTAGGGAGTGTTGACAATAATATATTTTAAATTATAGAACGCTTATAAACCTAATTATACCGGAAATCACCTTGTGTTTACCATATTTGTATTTAAGTAATATTAAATTACCCACTGTTATATGCCAGA